TTTCATGTCCCGTTGAATATAAAGGGCGATGATCTGTAGGTAGCATATCCATGCACAAATATGCAATGGTACTTTATTGCGTCAACAAAACTTCTTAAACAATGTACAACTTCTAATTTCACATCCTTCAGTAATGAGCTCTTGGCATAGTAGTGATTTAGAGTTCACAATTTTTAGTACAACTTCCTGGGTTGCTCTTCTATTGATGAGTGGTGATTTTGTTTCACTTTTTATATTATGCTGAATCATTTTAGGAGGGAAACTTTTAATCACCTTGCTAGTTGGTTGGAAGATGCAAGACAGCATGCAAATGCAAATATGACAATAATGCTGATAGGGAACAAGTGTGATCTTGCTCATAGAAGAGCTGTGAGCACGGAGGAAGGGTTGCAGTTTGCCAAAGAGAATGGTTTAATATTTATGGAGGCCTCTGCCAAAACAGCACAGAATGTGGAGGAGGTGATTTTTAACTCAGCCACTGATGCATTTTGACTCGTTTATAAAGTTCTTTTGCATGTTTCTTAAAAAAAGTAAGTTTGATGATTATGTCTTTTGGCTTCATGTAGGCATTTATCAACACCGCATCAACAATATATAAGAAAATACAAGATGGAGCCTTTGATGTATCAAATGAGGTAATCATGCTTTTAATACTCCCTAATTTATATGTGCATGCCAAACTTATTACTCTCTCGGTTCAAAAAAGGATGTCACTTTTCCAACTTTTCCCAAATTAGTTGCCACTTCATCTTTCCCAGAAAAATCATTAATTTTCCAATTTCAGCCTTTTATAAGCAATAAATATGGTGAAACCTCCCTCATTTCTAACATTATGTAACGACAGTGAATAAACTTCAAACTGATTCTCCCTCTGTCGTAAAAAATTTCTTCCCGTTTTGACCGGGGATCATTTTTCAGGAGGTGTAAAAAATGCTTTGACTTTCCAAAAATACCCCTCATGAGGTTAGAGGATTAGAATAGTTCAATAAAAAAATTAAAGGTAAAACAAATACATGAGCAAGAGAGCAATGTAATGTATCTACAAATGGCTACTGTCTAGAACTTGAGCCACTCTGTAGAGCAAAAGAAAGAGATGCCTGGTACAAACTACCCTACAGAGCTTGAGTTTCATGACTACTATGTCAAGCCGCCAATTTTGATTCTAAAATTTAGTTTAACCACATTTATCTTTAGAACCAGGGGTTCGAGCCTCTTCCATTTACAAAAAGTTAATTAGCTCGTATCATAGAACTAAGTGAATTGCCATACTAGGTGACCTTAGAAAAGAATGTGTCTTACCATTACACCATTCTGGGTTGACAGCTTGACCATATTTAATTTCATGATTCTGATGATGTCTCCACTAATCCTAGCCACTTTATAATCTACAGTTCCCTTTTGTTAGGCCTTGTTTTGAAAATTTCATTTGTAGGAGAAGAGCAGAGATTGTGAATTGATCAAGGATTCTTTGACCCACAATTTGTCAAAGTAAGCCTGAAGGGTTTTCAATATTGCCCATGTGGGGGCAAAGCCCGCTATACTTATTGGATTAAACGTGGATTTTATCCACCTTTCCTAGATCTTTCCTAAATATCCATCCTTTCTTTTGCCAGTCTTAGCATTCTGATTCGCAATAGTGTCAGTGATCGGTAACCATTGGAATACAAGTATTTAACCTAGATGCATCTTATGCTTGTCATCGTAATGAGGCTTTTTACATAAAGTTATTCAATTTTTTTTTTGAAAATTTTACTGTTTCATTTCAAGTTAGAATAAAAAGAAAATATTCGAGCTGACTAGCTCTAAGGTCGAGTGTTTGTTTTGTTTGTTTTTGGAATACAGACCAATGGGATAAAGGTTGGTTATGGTGGCGTCCAAGGGTCATTGGGAGGAAGAGATGGAGCTCTTACTCAAGGAGGGGGTTGCTGTAGCTGAACATGAAATCTGATTTCTTCCCAAGTATTGTTTGTTTGTGGCTTCTTCCTTTGTTTCTCAATCACTAGTATTTAATTTTTTTTTTAAAACTTGGCTGTGTAAGTGGTGTAAAATATAACACAACAACAATCAACAATAAGTATTTATTGATTTATTGGTGTGAATTACTGAAAGTAGAGTTTAGTGTTTCTGTTGTGATTTTGAAATGTTATTTTGGTTCTTAGAATCATCTCCATTAATGAAGGCCATCCTCCGTTATGTCAGCTCAGGCACATGTATAATTCCTTTGTCCCAAGTTGGCATGTATAATTCCTTTGTCCCAAGTTGGCATGTATAATTCCTTTGTCCCAAGTTTTTGTTAGCCATAGGTGCATTTCTAAAATTTATTGGGGCTGAATGATTATTTTGCTAATTGACACCCCCACCCACAACCCAATCCCACACATGCCGGAGGATATGACTTCCACCAAAACCCATTGTCCCAGTTTTGACAGTTTTGACTTTTGTTGTCAACTGTTTTTAACGTTTGATCTATAATTAAATAAAATATATATTGTATTTTAATTAGATAAAATAATATTTTGAAAATATTTAATATAGTATATCTAATAAAATTATTTTTTGTATCAATATTTAATATCATTTTTATTTATTTTGAGGTCAAAGTTTACTACGGAGTAATTTTGATCGCAAACAGTCGAAAGTGGACAAATATTTAGGAACAGAAGAAGTACTACTCTTTCGGGTCATTTTGGTATGCTAAGTTTACCCTAAGTTCGACACCATCTTCTTACGGATATACTCCCTCTGTCTTAATTTATATTGTATGTTTCGGTTTACGATGTTTGACCGAAAATATTTTCAAATCATTTTATATGAAAAATGGTGTAAAATTAAAAAATAAAAATTATATGTTAAAATAGTAATTCAAAAGATCTACAAAACTAGTGGTGAAAGGACTATATTATTTTATCAAATGACTAACGAAAATAGAGAAAGAGAGTGAATGAAATTTGGTCATGTAAGTAGTAAACAGATAATTTAATTTGAGACAGAGGAAGACTTTATTTGGGAACATCGCTTTCGATTAGCATTAACATTTTGGATAAAATTTTTTATGGTGTAGATTAGTTCTGAAAATGCTAACGCTAAACGCTACCGTCATATAATTTTTTCATAACACTAATGCTAAGCTCTAACGCTGATGCCAAATGAGATTGAAGATGATATCGAATATGGGGTACTCCAAGCACAACTCTTTTGGTTATGATTACCCTCTCGGTTTTATAGTGAAGTTCTCTATTTTTTAGTTCTTTGAAAAAAAAGTAATGGTAAAATTCATACTCTATTTTTTTAAATACTAATATTGATCTTACAATGGTTAGAGACTATTAGGGGTGGGCAAACGGGTCATGGAACCGGGAGTCAGAACCAAACCGACATGTTTGATTCGGGTTAGGTTTTCTTTTCAAAAATTTATAGCGGTCCGAGTCGGTCCGGTCCTAGATTTTAGGATTTCTCCATTCCAAAATTTTCTAGAATCCTGACCGGACCATTTTTAGTCAGAATCCTATCTGTTTCGCACTTTCGCTGCATCGCACAATGACTTGGGAATTGCAGAGATCGCCGATTCTTCCTCACGTTGAAATCGACACAGAGATTGCTCATCGCTTCTGAGTTCTGAGCGTGTAACGGTCGCATATTGTTTCCTCACGGTGAAATCGACACAGAGATTGCTCATCGATGGATTGCTTCTGAGCGTGTAACCTTCAGAGCCGAGCACAGAGAACGCAGAATTGGAGAATCTTAGTCAACGACCTTAATCAACCGAATCTCCACGCTCTTTCAACAATCTGGTCGGCGGTCACCACAATTAACTGAATCTTGTCCCGTGGTATGTTTCTCTTCTCTTCTCATGTCTAATTGAAATATTCACTTCTTTACTTTCAATATTTGATTTCAGATAGCCGGTGCCGGGTTGTATTCAAATTCAATATGATCAAATTAGACTACTCTTTAGAAACAAGTTGATTGTTGGTTTGGATTACTCAAATGAGTTGATTTCAAATTGTTGATTTCAGAGAGCCCGGTTGGCTAAAATCTGAGTTTGATTACACTGCAATGATCTTATTTTGTTTTGACCTATTGACATTATAATGCCATTAAAATCTGAGTTTGATTACACAGCCGGTTGTGAATTTTGTTCTTTTTGGAACCTATTGACATTCTGATTTCAAAATGTGGTTGTGTTCTTTTTTTGTTTTTGTTTGTAATCATGGGGGTGTAGACTTTACTGTTAGGCCCCTCTTTGTCATTGTTTTGTTTTCATTTAGGTTTCTTTTTTGTGTTGGATAACTTAAAATTGACTATGGGGGTAGTACATTGTTGTGGACTAATGGTGAATGACCATGTATATATATTATTAATTTATTATCATTTTATTTTTTAATAAAAACAAGCCGAGTCCGGTTTATACAAATCTTGGCTCGGACCGGCCCGTGCCCACCCCTAGAGACTATAGTTGGGAACTCCTTATCATCTGTCGCAAAATCTGAAAGTATATTTCCTTCTCCCATGGTTTCAACTAGCATCGTCTTACTTTTTTTTATTCTGTTTCAAAATGATTATCCTACTTTTTTATTTACCTAATAAAGTTAAAAAAATTGCGGTATATAGTCTTTTTCTTTATTTTAAATAAATTGCAATCACTCACTTTTTATTTTTCAATACTTTTCTTAAATTTTATAAAATTAAATTAGGATGATTAATTTGGGACACCACGTAGACAAAGGGAGTCATTATAGGGGTATGAATAAGTATGATCACATAACCCCTTCTCAAGAAAGAAGCCAATTCCCATGACATTGGTTCATAATGTCATGGGATGATTCGGGAGTGTTCCGATGCCTCATTCGTAAAATTAATAGTTCCTACTCCCAATAAATCCTCTCACCCATCATGAACCGAACTTACACCTCCACTTCTTCAACTGCACCCCCAAGTTAATTTTGATTTTGGAGTAAAAGTTCAAGACAAATATAAAAAAATAGTGAATTTTCGGAATATTTCTGTGATTTTTTCCCTTCCACATTTACCCTTTACTTATTCTCCTCCGCTTGCTCCCCGCTCCACTTCCCCCTCCGGGAACGCTCCCCTCGCCATCTCCTTCGTCGCAGGCCGCTCTGTGGTTCCCCTCCTGGAGTTCTCGACCTACTGGTATTCCCGTCCGCAGCGTGCGAGGCATGGTTTATCTCCTCATTCTTTGTCCAATTAGGTTTATTCTTACTTTTTTTTTGAAATCTTTTTCTCTGATTTACTTCGAAAGCCAATCGTCCTTTTCTCTTGAGATTTGTTTGAAATTCATCATTCTCGTTTTTCAAGTGCTTTCTTGTATCTTTTCAATGATTGAATCCAAAATCTGAGGTTTGAATCTCGTGTGTAAGCTACGGATCGAACTGTTCAAGTTGCAGAAATCAATGTTTTATTATATTTAATTTTTACTACTTGATAATTAAATGATTAGTATTTGTCTAAAAATGATACTCAATCTGCTGCATTGTATAGCTCTGAGAAGATGCAAAACCCTAGTTTTGGATCCGAGGAACACCTTCGGGTGCGAAAATTAGAAATGGGTGACAAGGGCAAGGGCTTTATCGAACTGTTAAGGCAATTAACCGTGTGTGGAGCTGTGTCGGACGAAGAATACAAGGAAAGGTTTGAAGAACTGGCAAAATATGGGGATGACCATGTAATATGCGTGATCGAAGACATGGTTTCTGGGAAAATTGTTTCCACTGGGAGTGTTTTTGTGGAGAGGAAGTTCATCAGAAACTGTGGGAAGGTTGGTCACATTGAGGATGTGGTAGTTGATTCGGGTGCCCGTGGGATGCAGTTAGGGAAGAGGGTCGTTGAGTTCTTGACCGACCATGCCCGTTCGTTGGGGTGTTACAAGGTGATTCTTGATTGCAGCGAGGAGAATAAGGCATTCTATGAGAAATGTGGGTTCAAGAAGAAGGAGGTTCAGATGGTCAAGTATTTCATGTCATGATTGATACTCAATCAGGTATGGTGGCTACACAACTCTTCTTCATACATTGTTTTAGCAGTGATGTTTTGTCTTCATGGTTTGTTGGCTTAATTTATGGTCCTAATGTGGTTGATTTAATGATTGTAGTCCTCAAATGCAATGATGCATGGTAAAAATGAGTGTACTTTATTGTCTGATGAACTTCTGTAACTGTTTGAGGAATCAAAAAATGCATGATAAAACAATGTATCCTCTGCTTGCTATAGCAATGCGATTTTTTTTTACATAAGACTTCATTTTCTTGAAAATTTTACTTTTTTTTCAAGTTTAAAGAGATATAAGGCCTAGTGTTTGTTTTGCAGGGGTCATGGGGTGGAAGAGATGGAGCTGTTACTCAAGGATGATATGGTATGGTACACATTCCCTGAGGACCTCCAAAATTTAGATACAGAACAGGGTTTAGGGGGAGATTAGGGGGGGTGAAATTATCATTTTTGCGAAGTGTTTCATGTCATATTATGACACTAATGGCTAATGTCAAAGGATCTTTACCCATCTTAGTATGTGTATCAAGTAAACATGATAAACTAGTTTTAAGAGGATGCCAAGAAAACATTTTACACCGCTTGTGTGTTGTACACTTAATTGAGAACAACGTAATCGATGAACTTTGATGTGTACATTAACTTTGAAATGTTACAACTAAGAGTTGTTCCTAGATAGTTTTTTTAAATGTTAGTCCAAACATGCTCTTAATATTGTTGGGTCCTGCCTACTCATGATTTTATTTTCTTTTTTTTTTTTTTGAAAATACTTATAGGCCGGTTTTGATAGTAACATATAACCATGTTTGTTGGTTTAATTGAGCACTGTTTTTGGATGTATAGAATTATTTGTACTATATAGTACGACTACTATACAATGCATTTAGGCGCTAGTTAGAACCCATGACTCAAACCGAACACACTACATTGTACGAGTACTTTTTTTTTGTTGAGTAAATTTCCTTACTACTATATAAAATAAGAATTTAAGATTTGGGCTGAGTATGTAAAAATGCCCGGTTCATGTAACATTCACTTTGATGTCATAGGATGGGCTCCCTATGGTGTTTCGTTCGAAAAATTGATAATTCTTATCCTTCTTAATCTTTCACCCTGCACCTCTAAACCCTTGTCCCCCCAATTCGCCGATTTGCAAAAGTGAGGGGGCTAGAAGGCTGGGAAGGGTTGAGAAGAGTAAGAACCATCATTTTATTAAACAGAGCACTGTCCTATGACATTGCTATCAATGTCACAGAAACCGTGATGAAATAGAATAATCCGGACCTCCTACAATATTTCGTTGTGTTATTATCATCTTAAGATCTACATGTGAAAAATGAAACTTTTCACATATTTTGTATAAGTTCATAATTGAACCTTTTTTTACAAAACTCAATACTTATAATCATTTAATGTTTTAAGGTTAATAAAATGAGCATAAACTTAAGGAACAATATAAAATTTGCCCAATAAATAAGAAAACGGGGTCCAAAAAAGAAAATTGGTGCACGCTTTTTGAGAAAATATTTTGGTTCAATCAAAATGCTTATCTTCAAGGTCCCATCCCATATAATTCGGGGAATAAAAACAACATGTCTATATTTGGAAATTTAACCGACGGTGCAGATTAAGCCATAAATATATACGGAGTATGAAAATTATTTTGAGTTAATTTTTAAAATTCATTTCATACTATAATACTCCCTCCGTCCCATAAAGTGTTACCCATTTTGACTAAAGTTGAAATTAAGGGAGTGATAATTTTGTGTTGACTTTCCAAAAATACTCTTGATGTGATAGGTAAAAGTAGGATGTGATGTGTAGATTATTAGGAAAAAGGTATGATGTGATAGGTAGAGTTTTAAAAAGTAAGAGGTAAAAGTGGTTTTTTGATAGAAATGGGTAGGAGATTGTGGGACATAATTTTTTTGAAAAGTGTAAATCTTTTTGGGACGGAGGGAGTATAATATAATATAATAGCATTATCTCTTATTTTGTAAATTTTTTATGTAGTTCTAAATTTATAAACTTTATTTTTAATTTTATACAGAGTATTTATAATCAAATAAATTGAGTTGAAAATAATATCAGTAAATCGTAAACCAAAATGAAAAGAATAATTTTGAAAAGACAAAGTATTAATTGTTTTGGATGTTCAAAAAATATTTGCTCAAAACAATTATTACTAGTAAAAGATTGAAAAAAGAAAAATATAGAGTATTTGGAATTTAAAAGAATGGTATCTAAGAGCACTGGTAATACCAGCAACGCCCCACGGCGTGAGGGGGCGTTTAACGCCCCGCCGGCGTGAAACATCGCCCCCCTCCGGGCGTGATCGGGCGTGATCGCCCTTGCGTCAAACGAATGACGCGGCGTCATTCGAAACCCCTCCCCTTCCCAACGGCTTTATAGCCGTTTATCCCATTTTTTTTTAAAAAAAAATTCTTATAAATTCAAACCCCCCCCCCTCCCAATCTCTCACACTTTCTCTTCTCAATCTCTTCTTCTTCCCATTTTAAAATTCGAAATTACCCTCTTTCTATTCAACATGAATCCTTCCGGCTCCGGCTTCGTTCCCGACGATCTCCCGCTGAGTGACGCCGCGATGTGGTTCTACCAAGAGTGGGGCGATCGAAATTACCCTCTTTCTATTCAACATGAATCCTTCCGGCTCCAGCTTCGTTCCCGACGATCTCCCGCTGAGTGACGCCGCGATGTGGTTCTACCAAGAGTGGGGCGATCGACCGCCGATATACGAGACGCAACAATCGGGGTACGTCGACCGAGATTCGGTTCCGGAGACTCAACCGGAACCGTCCGGATCGAAAAAAAGTNCGTTGACCGAGGCGGCACGGTCAATCCAAAAGTGGACGCCGGAGGAGGAGTGCATATTGGCGTCGGCTTGGGTTGACGTCTCCGAGCATCCTATCATTGGTAAAAAATTTATTTTTTCTAATATATTTATGTTTTTATTTATATATATTATATTTAATGGTGTCTAAACAAATTGTGTAATACATTTTTAAAGGTACGGAGCAAACGAAGGATGCGATGTGGGATCGTATCGAGGAGAAGTTCTTCACGGCGATGAAGAAGGACGGCTCCTACCGAACCTGGGACCAACTCACTTCCAAATGGAGCCACATCAACAAAAAAGTACGAAAGTTTATGGGAGTATACGAGGAATACTCCCGGTCCCGGAGGAGCGGCATGAACGACGCCGATGTTCTCCGGCTTGCCACGACCCGGTATCAAGACGACGGGAACCAAGGCAAGGTGCCCATCGATCTTTGGGGGATTTTGAGTCGTTCCTCGAAGTGACAACAACTCAACAATCCCGACGGCGGATCATTGCGGAAAAGATCCACTGTCGACGCCGAGGTTGAGATCGACGAGACTATCGGTTCTAACGATCAAATCCCTCCCTTCAACGTTGCGGATTCCGATGACGAGGACCCCATTCCACGGCCGATTGGAAGAAAGAAGGCAAAATCCATTGCCTCTGGTTCGGGAGGGTCCGCCTCTGTTTCCGCTTCTCCCCGCGACGAAATCGGCCGGGCAATGATTGAACAACTTCGGGCGTTCAATCTCCAAGAACAAGAGAGGTTGAAGCTAAAGGAGAAAGAGTTGAAGCTAAAGGAGCAGGAAGCCGAGATGAAAGTCATGCAAACCGACCCCGAGACGTTGTCGGAGTTTGGACGAATGATCTATGAGCAAAGAATGAGAGAGATCAAGGAGAAATATAATTTACCTTAGTTTTTTTTATTAATGTATCTTTTTTTAAATTATTGACGCTTTTTTTATTTAATGAATGTATTTTTTTATTATTCGTGTTTCAATTTAATTAAATAATAAATTAATTACATTTTATTAATTTAATTTTAAAAGATGTATATTTAAAAATGTAAAAAATGAAGGTTTGAAGCCCAGTTTTAAAGCCCCAGGGCTTCAAACCCATTTCCAGGGAATTTTGGGTGTAAGTTAAAGCTGACGTGGCAGAGAGAGAAAGTTTGAAGCCCCGGTTTGAAGCCCCGAGGCTTCATAACCATTACCAGTGCTCTAAGAGTATCTTTAACGCAAAATGTTTAAGGAGTTACTTCACCTTAAAAAAAGCGGTGTGGAATACATTTTGGAAAAATGCTAGGGGTACACCATTTGGTGTACCCCATTTGTCCCCCACCCCCTCCATTACCACATAAATGGGCAAGAATTTTAAAAAAAATTAAATAAATAAAAAGTAGATTAAAATGGGTAGTGGAGAAGGGGGTGGGGGGACAAATGGGGTACACCGAACCTTTGGTGTACCCCTAACATGGCTCTACATTTTGAGCACCGCTTGCATCATTTTACAATAGAGTTATTTAGTGACGCAATTGTATCTTAGCTAAAAAAATTTAATTAAAGGAGAATTTAGCTATATAGTACAAAAACATTGTGAGTTTTCTAATGTAGTACCAAATATTTTAATTTTCTAATGTAGTACCACTCTTCAATATACACTAGATATTATTCAAGTAAACGTTTATCTCCATTAGACATTGTTCAAAGTATATGTCCACTACCACTGGATATTGTAGAATTATTATTTAGGAAATAAAATTTTTTAGATAATACATTGAGAAAAGATATATGATTTAGTACTATTTAGTGCAATATTCTCTATTAAATAACCTCACTAAAGAGCTATTATAAGAGTGAAACATTTAACATTACAAGAATAGAATTTTAAAAAACTTTAAAACTACAAGAATAAAATGTGAAAGTGATGTTATACATACTCGTCTCAAAAAGGTTATTACAGTTTGAGCTTCCTCATCAAATTGTTACACAATTTGACAATAATGTAAAAAATAATTTATACTAGCTAAATGTTATAAAAATTTGATATATCAAAACTTTATTTTAAAACGAACCTAATTTTACTAAATTACATTATAGCAAATTATACTTTTATCACAATTTATGATAAAAGTGTTGTACAATTTGACAAAAATCAAATTATGATAATCTTTTTAGGGCTTAGCGAGTAGGATTTTTTTAGACTTCTTAATTGAATTGTTTGTTTAGTATTGAGATGGTCAAACTTCATTCACTTTCTTTCCTTATCTTTGTTAGTCATTTAATAAAATAATATAGTCATATCATCATTAATTTTGTAGATCTTTTAATGTAATTTTTAAATACTCCCTCCGTCCCCAATTTGATTACAAATTGCGGGTTACGGAGTAAAATTTCCTACTTTTTGTAATCATTTTATTTACAAATTGGTATATCAATAAGCTATAAAAATTACATATTAAAAAACTACGTCAAAAGTTCTACAAAACAAGTGACAAAAATGTTTTATTTTATTAAATACTTGATAAAATCGCGTAAACAAACAAAAGTTATCGAGAGGAGAGATAAAAAAAGATTGTAATCTATTTAGGGACAGAGGGAGGATATAATTTTTATTTTTCAAATTATACACCAATTTTTAATAAAATGATTTAAAAATAATTTCAATCAAGTATCGTACAGTGAAACAAGCAATTTAAATTGAAACGAAGGAAGTATAGAATTAATAAAAGAGTAAAAAAATGATTTTGAAATAATGAATTGAGATGATTCATTCATTTCATTGGGGAGGGAGAAATCATATGATAGCTATACTTGTTGTGGAAAGTGGCAGATATGTCCTTGGTAACCCGAATGCTAACCGTTCGTTTGTAAAGTACAACCGTTAATTCTGACAAATGCAGGGGCATTAACGGAAATCGTCAACTTGAACGCTCGTTAACAGCTCTTGCTATAAAAACGACAATTCGTTTCCGTCCAAATGACAGCGGAATCACTCTCTTCCACACAGTCCACACTGAGCTCAGAGCGGCGATCGGCGACGTAATGGCGGCTGCGATCGGAGCTCTATCGTCGCCGTATGCCGGCGTCAGCCAGAGGATCGACGGCGCTGCGTCTAGCAAGATTTCGTTCCGGGGACTGTCCTTCTCTTCCTCTAATCTCGCCGGCGACAGGTTGAATTCATTGCCTTCCCGACGGCGGATCCGTTCCGGAGAGAAATCGTCGGCTGTGAGGACTGTTCCGTTCATCGTTTCTCCTAAAGCCGTTTCTGATTCGCAGAATTCGCAGACTTGTCTAGACCCTGATGCTAGCAAAGTAAGCATTCAATCGTTTCAATTTTGCGCATTCTCGTTATAACTGACAAATCTATAAATGGAATTACATGTACTGCTTATACACAATAGACATCGATGGTATTTTTGGATCAGAATGACTGTTATGAGATTAAAATGCTGAATTTGATTAGAATTTCATGAAAATTGTTTTCTACGGCATTGGAATGTGTGTCCATCATTATTGCTTCAGCGTGAAGTACGGATTATGTTTGTTGTTAGTTTCCAGATCCAACTGAGTAAATGATACTCTGCATCCATCAACTATTGCTTTTGGTATCACAGTCAGCTGTCAAAGATGGTATCAGATCTGTATACATCACAGAAATTGCAATTAAAAACAAATAGTAGAAGAAAAAAGTTTAAGTGTCTGTATGTTCACCAATAAAGCTGAGCGCTTTGTTTGTTCACGACAAAAAGGTCGTGAAATTCTTTGGTAAAGTACGGAGTAATGTTTAAGTTACTCTAACTTGGGAACAATTATCAATCATTGATTTTACTGTTTTGAAAAAATAAGCATGCAGACATCTTTACATCATGATTTCAAGACTACAGAGACTAATTCCATATGAATATGAATTTTTATGACTTTTTCTGTGTGCTTAATCTATCAGAGTGTCTTGGGTATTATCCTTGGAGGTGGTGCCGGAACCAGGCTCTATCCTCTTACTAAGAAGCGGGCTAAGCCTGCTGTTCCACTTGGAGCAAATTATCGCTTGATTGATATCCCCGTGAGCAACTGCTTGAACAGCAACGTTTCCAAAATCTATGTTCTCACACAATTCAACTCAGCATCACTTAATCGTCACCTTTCACGGGCATATGCAAGCAACCTGGGTGGATACAAAAATGAAGGTTTCGTTGAGGTCCTTGCTGCTCAGCAAAGTCCAGAAAACCCCAATTGGTTCCAGGTATTTGGTCATTATAGTTTTTTAGATCGAGGATCATATTTATGAATACCAAGCCCTGAAACTGGATTTCTCATGAGTATGTCTGGATTTAAATGTGACATGATAAAGAACCATACGGGTGTTATGAATAAGTCCATAATGCCATAAAGTGACATGGATTCCTATCATCTGACAGGGTACTGCTGATGCTGTGAGGCAATATCTTTGGCTTTTTGAGGAGCATAATGTTCTAGAATTCTTAATCCTTGCCGGTGATCATCTATACCGAATGGATTACGAGAGGTTCATTCAAGCCCACAGAGAAACAGATGCAGATATTACAGTTGCTGCACTGCCAATGGACGAGCAACGCGCCACTGCTTTTGGTCTCATGAAGATTGATGAAGAAGGGAGGATCATTGAATTCGCAGAGAAACCAAAAGGAGAACAGCTAAAATCTATGAAGGTAAAAAAGGAAAAAGAACAAGAAATAAGCCGTCCATGTGCCTATATAACAAATAGGGTTAGAGTTCTAAACAGTTCTATATAGATAAAGAATAACTTGCTCATATACTTTCAGGTTGATACCACCATTCTGGGTCTTGATGACGAGAGAGCTAAAGAGATGCCTTACATTGCAAGCATGGGAATTTATGTTGTTAGCAAAGATGTAATGATTAATCTACTTCGAGATAAGTTCCCAGGAGCTAATGATTTTGGAAGTGAAGTTATTCCTGGTGCTACCTCCCTTGGACTGAGAGTATGTGCCTTCCCTCTCTCTCGAAATCATTATGCAAAGTTGTATTCTGCAACAGACATTTGTAGGTGTGTTAGTACTGTGAGATGTATTGATTAGTAATTTCATGAAAAGTTATACTGTCAATATGTGCAGGTGCAAGCTTATTTGTTTGATGGCTACTGGGAAGACATTGGTACAATTGAAGCCTTCTATAACGCTAATTTGGGGATTACAAAGAAGCCAGTGCCAGATTTCAGGTATTGTAGACTGCTTTTTTGCGCAGTGCTTTGTTAATCTAAAACACTAAACAGGTGTCAATGTCTTCTTGAAGTTTCTACGACCGGTCGGCTCCAATTTACACGCAACCTCGATATTTACCACCTTCTAAGATGCTTGATGCTGATGTCACAGACAGTGTCATTGGTGAAGGTTGTGTAATCAAGGTAAGTTTCTTTCTATCTGAGCTTTCAAATCTTTTTAAGGATTATAATGTGTCAGGACTACACCGTGAATCGTGATCAACCACACGATTATATCTATATGGATAATAATTGCAAGCTTGTTTGTGATGCAGAACTGTAAAATTCACCACTCCGTGGTTGGACTTAGATCATGCATATCAGAGGGTGCCATTATAGAAGATACATTGCTGATGGGGGCGGATTACTATGAGGTAACTAGTAATCCATGTGGACTAAACTTGCTTCACTCATGGACTAAACCTGGATTTTTTTTGCAAGGGGACACAATATTGCTTTAGTGGTTCTCTGGGTCATGTTCTTTAATGATATATCATGATCTTTCTTATTATGTGATTCAGACGGATGCTGAGAGGAGGCTTCTGGCTGCAAAGGGAAGTGTTCCAATTGGGATTGGCAAGAACTCCCACATTAAAAGGGCAATCATTGACAAGAATGCCCGTATTGGCGATAATGTTAAGGTGAGGAATCGGATAGCCCCACGCCTGGTTTGATTTGGTAGTTTTAATTATAATATACACTTTTCATTGCATTCATGGATACATATCGCATAACCATGAATGAACTAACATGAGTTTTGTGATATGATGCATGTGTATATGTGATCATCAGATCATAAACGGTGACAATATCCAAGAAGCGGCGAGGGAAA